CACACACACACACACACACACACACAACACACAGCACACACACACACACACACACACACACACACACACCACACACCACACACACACACACACACACCACACACACACACACACACACACAACACACACACACACACACACACACCACACACACACACACACACACACACTCACACTTTTAATATCAGTTATTTAGACCCCAAGATTCTCCTGACTTTGCGTTAACTACAGACGTCACACACTGGTGTTCTACCACAGGCTGAGTTTCACAGTAATACCTCAGTTTAAATATTCTTTAGAGAAATTCAACAACTTTGATTTGAAAGACTGTTGTCAGCGTTATGAGGGGTTTGATACATGTTGATATACTGTAGAGTAGCTGAGCTAGACTCAGACAGATGATGTAAGACCAACCTAACCTTCAGTATCAGTGGGAACATTGAGGAAAGTAATGTCTGTGATTGTAAAAATCAATATGCATTTGAAGTCCTGCCCACAGTAATTGCTTCAGAGAAGCCACATTAAGTTTAAGGTGCACATAAACGCATTCATACACACATTTACACACAGGATGAGAGGATGGTGCTCAATTTCTAAGGCATAATTGCATTTTTCTGATTCCTCTCATTCAGACGAGGTAATTCTCACGCCTGCTAAAGGCTTCGGCTGGATTAACCCGTCAGCATTTTGCTTCTATTTCCCTAATCAGGGATTCTAATTATCATTGTGAAAAGAGAAAAAAAAAAACTTAAACTGCAAATAACTTGTATTAAATCCAGTTTGAGTAAATACATTTCTCTCATCACCAGGATTTGTGCACTGTTGACAGAAACACACTGCACACACACAAATAGACCTCAATATTAATCTGATTAGCCTTGTAAAGAGCACATTTAACCCTTTAATCTCCCTGGAGGACACAGTCTGATAAACAGCATTGAAACACAAATCATCCCGCGGCTGGTAATCTTAATCACCCAAACCCTAAATTTACCAGCACATGCAGTCACAGGCTGCTGGTCATGTTTGATGTGCAGGAAGAGGCTGTCTTCAACATCCTGGGATTGATTGAAACAAAAAAACTGCTGAGTCAATCGTTGTTTTAATGGAGCAGGAAATAGCTCAGCAGGGCAACGTATGATTGTTTAATCTTCACTTTTATTTTTGTCTCCGGACACAAGGATGAATTATTAAGTGAAACTTGTCCAATCAGTTTGCTATATCAACTGAAGATGTCAGATGTGAAAGTTCCCACATGCGGAAAAAAAAAAGTGTGAAAATTCCACAAAAATCTGTCATGGTGTATTTGGACATAAATATATTCAAAATCACACTCGGGGATATCGTCACGGGATTTTAACATGATAGAGGAATTTTCCTTGTTCTGATGGCGCATACAGAAAAAAAAAAAAATTGCCAAGAAACATGCTTCTGAAATAGAACATGTCTCATAATGAGAAGTGAACGATCAGCTATCATAATTTATGAACACCAGTGCAATCTAGTGCAATCCGGAAGCTTGAAACATTTTCAGTCTTTGTTGAAATATTGTGCTCCCCTCATGTAGGTTAATTCAGAGGAGCACCTTCCAATATGAAGCACTGTAGGCATCACCACCACCCTCTTAGTCAAGATTTGTATGCTTTTTCAAAGTGTTGATCTTAACACAGATCTTAAACTTAGATCCTCAAGATTCTTCCTTCATCTTTAATGTATTTTTTTAAACTTGGTTTCCTTTCTCCCACTGCAATAGCAGAATGTAAAAAGATAGAGTAAAGCGTTACTAAATCAGATATTGCTATCATAATAACATGCCAGTGTATTTTTAATTACCATGTGCAGGATGAACACTAATGAAGCATTTAAAGTTACAGCACCATGGTCACCATGGAGATTTTTCCACTGACAAGTTGTTGTTGTCGTCTTTAACTGAAGTGCTGGAGATGGACTGATTTATGAAAATGCAGGTGGCAGACCCTGATATTCTGAAACAATAATTTATGCTATAATAGATAATATTTTTATTCTATCATTCCAACATTTGTCATAACAAGAGAAAAAATCAAAGATATTCCTTCAGAAGATTTCTTCAGTGATATCGAGCCGTGTTTTTCCAGCAATAAGAGCTGAATTTCACAGTTCTCTTCTTTTCAGTTGTTTAAAACTTTGCCTGTCAGAGTCTTTGGCTGTTTTTCAGTCCCAGGATACAGTTTTATCTGGGTTACAGTTTGATGTTTCACTTCAGGTTACAGCTAACGTGAAACCATAAAACTTGTGAAAATGTAGATAGAGAAGTGAGACAAAAAGACCCAGACGGGTTCGTGCGTATGTCTCACCGCAAAAAAAGAACGTGACTTAAATGAACTGAATGTGACTTAATGAGCCAACGAGGGAGAAAATAATGTAGAACTAAATTTAAGAAGTCATGAAATGTAGCAGAGAAAGTAAAGTGTGAGGCTGAGTGACCTCTGCAGTTAAAATCGTCCAACAACTGAAGTACTCTTGGGAAAGCTAATAAAACAGACATTGCGTTTCTGTCCGCCTGTTTTAAAAGAAGAATTCAAAGTAAGAATTAGGACTGTAGTAATGTTGGGTGAACCTGAATCATGTCTGCTCTGTTCCTCTTCAGGCCTTGTTAGCGGTGCTGCGTGAGAGTCATCGCACCCGCACGGTGTTCCGTAAGGTGGGAGGCTTCGTCTACATCACGTCTCTGCTGGTTGCCATGGAGCGCTCACTGTGCCAGCCTCCTCGACACGGCTGGGACCGAGTCAACCAGAACCAGGTCTTTGAGCTCCTGCACACCGTCTTCTGCACGCTCACCGCCGCCATGCGCTACGAGCCCGCCAACTCCCACTTCTTCCGTACGGAGATCCAGTATGATAAACTGGCAGACGCTGTGAGGTAAGATGTGTCTCAGAGGTGGTAAAACACTTTGGGGTCATCTGTGTCCCTTAAATGTAATAACTTCTTAATTCATTACTTTTAGCATTACTACTAACCACTCGTTCTTTATCGACCAAACCCTGAAATCATGAAGAAAATGTGGTTTTGCCACTTACTACTTTTTCATTATCACTTGTGTTAAAAAGAAAATCATTATTTTTTTTATTGAGTTTTAGTCAAATCCATATTGTATCTTTAAATTCTGTTTGTGAATGCTAAACAATTCACCAACTTAGCTTACGGTCCCTTCTTTAGACCTTCTTCAGTTTGCAGAGTTTGCCCAGGTGACCACACGATGATCTTTATGGGCATGCAAAATGTTGCGTATGTCACATTTATATTTATATCACTATCCCTATGGCAACCAAGCAAACCTCTGTTGAGTAAGATCCAGCAGGTATAACTCAAAACTCAGAAAGAAATCCAGTAATCTGGCATTAAAGTTAGCCATGTTTCAAGCTAGTTCAATTAAGATGTGACTAAAGCTGTGTCTGAACATGTGGGCTGCATCCTTCAAAGGACGCAGCCTAAAAAGGACCCAGCCTTCGCAGCAGCCTGTGTAGAACAGGCCAAACGGAAATGACACAGTCTGGTCTTCTGGTATAAAATGGCACACAGTGTATCTTGGGATATGTTCTGCCCTGAAGGATGCACTGGATAGATTCTTTGTTGACCACAGAAAGTAGAATCACTCCGAAGGTAGAAACCTTCAAATCTGGACATAACATCCGTGTATTGATTAGAACTAGCTTACATATGCCCTGAGCTTCATTTGTGGCTGTTCATTAAAATGCTTTACTGTAAGAATGGCGTTAAATAGCATTTTTTTTTTTTAAACCAATCTGTGAATTCCTTTTTCCTTGATTAGTGAAAAAACTATCTTTTTATGTGAACTGTTAAAATGCTAATGAAGTACAGAGTGATAATTATCTAATACAGTATCACAGAACAGTGTGATACTCAGGTATTGTGTTTTCTTCATTTAAAGTAGAACTACTTTACGACCATACTAATGAGTTGTCGATGCTGGATTATTCTCTTCATTTATTTTTGTTCTCAACATACAGTCCAATATATAAAATAAGACCGAATTTGTTAAAAGTTCTGTCATGCCTTTCATCAGTGCTGTGATCTGTTTTAACTGTGCTCTTTACAACTAAACTCTCCTCATGTTCCTGTCAGGCTGCTGGGCTGTTTCTCAGACACTAAGAAGCTGGGTCCGACAAGCGTGTTCCCCTCCAACGCTCAGCCTTTCCAGAGGCTGTTGGAGGACGAGGCTGCACCCGGAGGCTGTGCGGGAGACAGCGTGTGTCCGACACTTAAACACTGCAGCAAACTCTTTATCTATCTGTACAAGATGGCGACTGACTCCTTCGATAGGTCAGTGATCCCCTAAAAGAGTTTTTTTTTTTTTACTCCTTGCAGTACAACCTTTTAAAAAGTAACCTATGTCAAAAGGGACATGATAGGTTTCATCATTTTCTGGCAATAAGAGCAGTGGCATCTGCATTTGTTCTCAGAACATGCAGGATCAGAGTGCTACTTTAGTGCATGTTTCAAATATATCCAAAAATATATTGGTATGTAAATGATGCATGTTGAATATTTAATTTGATGAAATGTATCAGAAAGCATCATACTGCAAGTGAAGTTTATAAACATTTTCTTGAACCTTTTTGTGGCAATATGAGTGTAAAGTTCTGTTAATTGTAAAGAAGTATGACTTTATGTGCTCCAGTTAATATTGGAAATTATTTGTGTTGAATTTACTGTATCTTATAGCAACATTACAATCAGCTACAGAGAGGGTTTATTCTGGCAAAACATATCCAACAAAAAAAGATGCTACTGAATACCACAACAACAAAAAAAGCAGAACGTTGACTTTTTGGCTCGGTTAGCTTTAAACTTGAAGGTCGGGATCAGTCAGGTCCTTCTTCTCCTGTTATATAAGTAGATCAACTCTGACTGCTGGAAACTCAAAGACATTAAGTCAAGATGCTCACTGTGTTGCCTTTCACGCTGCACTGAATGGTGTTGTTATGATGTCAGACTGAGAGAAATAATTATTAAATGTATTAAAGTCTGTGGTCGTCATGACAACACTACCTGCCCAGCCCATGTGCAGGTGTAGCTGGCGTCCTGCATGTGCTCCAGCTGTAGCTCTGATCCTGTTTCTCCTTCAGCTTTCCACTAACAGCTTCTTTCCCTCTTTTTCTCTCTTGTTCTCTTTTTCTCCCTCCTCTAACCTCTGCCGCTGTCTGGCTGTTCATCCTCGGCCTGGTCCATCTGTACGGCTGCGTGTGGCTGCGTGTGTGTGTGTGTGTGTGTGTGTGTGTGTGTGTGTGTGTGTGTGTGTGTGTGTGTGTGTGTGTGTGTGTGTGTGTGTGTGTGTGTGTGTGTGTGTGTGTGTGTGTGTGTGTGTGTGTGTGTGTGTGTGTGTGTGTGTGTGTGTGTGTGTGTGTGTGTGTGTGTGTGTGTGTGTGTGTGTGTGTGTGTGTGTGTGTGTGTGTGTGTGTGTGTGTGTGTTTACCTGGGCTTGTGTGTGTTTAATGCCTGCGTGTGTGTGTGTGTGTGCATGTTTGTGTCTGAATGTGTCTTTCTGTTTGTTTATTTCTGTATGTATGTATGTGTGTGGGTGCTTGTATATGTGCATCTGTATATGTATCTATCTGTGCGTGTGTGTGTGTGTGTGTGTGTACTTATGTGTGTGTTTGCTGCCATGCAGTCGTGCAGAGCAGGTGCCTCCCTGCCTGACTCATGAGACCTCGCTGCCCTCGCCGTGGGGCACGCCAGCACTCGCCAGGAAGAGGTAGCTACAGCGCTCTGCCACCTTCCTCCTCCTCACCCCTCCCTCCTGTTCATCCTGTCATTCCTCACCTTCACCCTCTTCACTCCCTCCTGTTCATCATCACCTTCAGTCAAGACTGAGCACAAACACTAGCAATGAGATTCCTTCTTTCCGTCAAACCAAACATCCAAATAAAAGTAAAAACATTCAAATGAATTTCAATAACATCATTTATTCCTATCTTCACTCTGTGACCAAAAGATGAAAACAGACTTGTTTCCTCTGGAAAAAATCTATTTCTATAATCTATAATATATCTATAAATTAACTCGACTTTGGTGACAGCCTGTCAGAACACTTATTGTTTTTTTTAATACTACGACATAGAAATGCCTGGTTAGGTTAAGTAGTTGTAGACACATTTTTGTCCTCATCAGACTCCTCCTCCTCCTCCTGTTCCATTCTTGGCTCTTTGAATTTCATTAACAAGAAGAGAAACGTACTCTGCCTTAATGAGCAACAATAACTGTCCTCTTAGCAACCCAGACTGCATATTTATGAGATGAACTAATGTGACATATAGAGGTGATAAGTATCCTCTTCTTGTTTGTGCACTTCACTTAAAGCAGTTTTTTTGTAGACATCATTTGTTCTACTACAGACTGTTTATGCATGTGTGTTATCAAATCTTGTAAATAAAACAGCCACTTATTTTACTATCTGTAAACATTGTATACTTAAACAACTATTACATATAACAGAGACATGTGTGAAGTGTGAATTTCTACCTACAGTATGCAGGTAGGTCTCCCCTGACTTTCAGCATGGAGTTTGACTATTGCCACCACCTACCAATCATGTTGTCTGTGGCTGGTAACCCTGTCGTTTCTTTTCCTAAAATAAAGCAGTTAAAATTGATAATACTCTGGAAAAAAGTTTCATAGGGGTTTCCAGCACTTTCTGCTGACTCCAGTCTTTTTCAGTCCTGCGTCTCTCCTGTGGGGGGATTTGTACTCTGTAATTTGCATCGCAGCAACACTCCTCATTTGTTTAATTACCCAACTGCAGCTCCTCTGCTCTGTGCTCCCTCACATGAGGGGGGCTATGTGCTTTAGATGGAACTGACACCATGATCTCTTAAGTGTGTGGACTGCTGACTCATGTTAAATGAAGTTCGAGTAAAAGTGTTAAATACAGAGCTCCCATTGATTCAGTGATCTAATTAGTCTCCTCATTATAAGAACCTTTCTACTGAGCTGTGAAACAAAGCTTTCTTCTGGAAGAAGAGGTGAATTTAAATCTGGATATTTAACAGCAAGTTACATATTTTACAGAAGATTAGGTCGAAGCTCTGTGGGAATAGCAGATTTAGTTAATACAATCCATATTTCATTATATTTTATGGTAATTGACAAGTGATACCACTTTGGATTGAAATGCAGTCATGATCATTTCATGTTGTCTTAAGCTGTATTCAAATAGTCACTTAGAACCCGACACATATAAATAAAAGTACCAGGTTTAGACAACAGGACTTTGCTAAATATGACTTTCTTGCTTTCTAATCCAGACAAGGTTACTACGGCACGTCGGGCCCTCCTGCCCCAGTCAAGGCCCTGACTGACCTCAAACTGCACCTTGCCAACGCCTCCCACCCTGTTTCCTCGTCCTCTTTGTCTGACATGGTGGTCATCCACCCAGGGGCCGTCCTCGCCATTCTTGACCTGCTGCCCTCCGTCTCCTCCGACAGCCAGCCCGAGGTGAGGGAACACAGAGAGGAAATGTGCTCACATGCACTTCCTCTTTAAAGTGTGTGAAAAGGTTGTATGCAGGAAAGTGTCTCAAAGTACGTTAGAGGGAACCAGACAGTTTGTACCACGCGTGCATGTATCTGGAAACTATGTTATTAAACGATTATTGAACTAATCAATTGAACAAGGGCGCCATTTCTTTCAAATCAAGTTAATACAATGAAAATTCAACAAACTGATTCTACAATACTGTGAATCAGATATCATACTGAACTCTGTTTTGCCCCGCAGCACGCTCTTGACCTGCAGCTGGCAGTGGCCAACATCCTGCAGCTACTGGTGAACAGTGAGAGGAACCAGCAGGTTCTGTGTGAAGCCTCTCTCCACCAGCGGCTGTTGCAGCGCTGCAGTCAGGCTCTGGGTGATGAAGACCACCCGCTGCACCCCCCTCTGCAGAGGATGTTTGAGAGGCTGGCTTCTCAGGCACTGCAGCCCATGGCACTCAGGTACTGGACACTCTCTTTTTGTTAAGTTTCATAATATACTACTGTTTTATCTCCTTATGTTAGTCATTTCTTATAACTATAAGGGGTGTCCCCGACAAAAGGATTCACATAGTTGAACCTGATAATAGGTTAGATTCTCTGCCAGAGCCGGCAGAAGACAGGGGTTTTGCTGCATCGGAAAAACCTGTGAGAGATTAAATCTAAACATATTTAGCAAATATCAGCATGAGGACCCGGCAACATTCAGTTTGGTAACACGCACTTTGACTCCTTCCGGTTGGGCTCAGAGGTGAGCTGACACAAATGACCTTGGGGAAGACTAATCTGCTTTGACAGCTTCCAGTGTGTGAAGGATGGCTGTGTATGCAGACAAAACATTGACTCTCATTTCCCGCTTGGCTAGTTAAGTGAGATGGGATGCTGGGTTTGAGGAATGGGGAAGGGGTGGGGTATTTGACATACACATGGTGGGTTCTTTTTATATGTTAATGCTCCCTCCATGGCTTATATTCCTTTCACCGTCCTAATTGTGCTGAGGGTAAATGTATCTGTAACTGTCAGGCAGTCTCCTCTCCTCTCCTCCTCTCCTCTCCTCTCCTCTCCTCTCCTCTCCTCTCCTCTCCGGACACTTTGCATTTAAGGCACTTCCATTCCTGTCAACCTGTCATTGACTTTAAAAGATGCATGTAGCCACAGCTGTTGAGATGTAGAGTACCTGCGACATAACTGCTGCATTCAAATGCTGAACATTTATTTGCTGTTTTTATCAAGAATGCTTTACAGTTTCATGAGAACAAATTTATGGGTTTTTTTGTATCTGTGGTCTCTTATGAGAATACAGGCCTGCAGGTCTTAAAAAAACTTAAATTATCATAAATAATAATCATAAACCATACATTAAGGCACCCCCACACATGGCCATTTTTGGACACCCCTCGGTTTGCCAGATATAAGACCAGTTATCACGGTAATCAAACAGGTGTTGCACCAATAAAATTGTTCTTCCCGACCTAAAAGCCCTCTAAATTCTTTTAATAAGCTCCACGGGCTGAAACGTGGTAAAACTAGGATAGATATTGGAGATGCTTTTTAAAAATGGAGAAAGGTTAGAACACAGTAAGGTTTCAAGACTGATGCAGAGTTGGCTAAACACTGAAGCTTCAGTGTCCATGAATTGGCAACCTGCTTGCGCATCGACTCCAGGGGGGAGGGGGCGGGGGGGGGCGGCTGTCTCCACTGTTTTGAATTTGTACTGCAGTAGCCCATTTTTAAACACTGTCAGAGTCACATATTGCTCCTTTAATGGATCCTTTTGGTATATTTTAAATAATATCATCATCCTTCTTCTTTCTCTGTAGGGAGTTCTTACGTCTCGGGAACCCTCTGAACTGTGGCGCCTGGGACAAAAAGCTCCTGAAACAGTACCGGGTTCACAAACCGAGCTCTCTCAGCTATGACACCGACACCAGAAGTAAGACGATAACATATCTCTTCTTTGCTTTTAATCATATGATTCCTAGTGTGCCTGGGGTCTTGGATGGATTCTAAGCTGGAGTGTGACTCACACTCCCTGGAAGAACACAGGCCAACACACTAACTCAATGACACTTAAAAGACCACTGTGATAAACTTTTGTTATCGGTAACCTTTAGTATTCAGTAAGTGTGTGGGCTGGATTGTGTATGAATTAGCATGGCACTAATGTAGATAAGCATTTTTTTAAATAATCTTATTATGTAGCTTGATTACCTACTTTTAACATAGTTAGATGGAGGTACAATCAATGTTAAAGCATTCAGGTCAAACAAGTTGAATCCATCTGCTTGGGTCAAAACGTTTAAATTTGACTTCCTAAATAAAGCTGTATAAATTCTATAAAAGCAATAGATGAGGGGACAAACATCAAATAAAAGTAACATACGCCTGGCTCCGTGTCGCTCTTAAATATTACTTCAATTCTTCAGCAAAAATGACTTTGCCACTTTTCAAGTGAAGCCATCAGGTTTTTTTTAAGAGCTGAGAATGGAGGTTGAATTCCAGCACAGTCCATCAGTACAGTTATGAAATATGATAATGTCATTCAGGAGCTTTTCCCATCTGCCACAGTGATACCAGCCTTGTTCTGTACTAAAAGCTTGAACAAAAAAAAAAAAGCCCATCAATCTTCTAGCTATCCTGTTTTTTTTTTTTCTTCACTGGCTCTTCCTGCAACCCCTTTGACAATTCCAGAGCTCTATAGGCTCAGAGGATGAGCTTCCTGTCACCATTTAATTGCTGGTGGAAATGACTTTCACTGTCTGGGTGATGGGAAGCGAAGGTTTCTGAAGGTTTTCATAAAGGTTCAGATGATTGCGAAGTTAGTATAACAGCTGAGTGAGCTTTAGTTTTTTATTTTCCTAACCACAATGTATCACTTTCAAATATGTAGCTATTATTGGCTTTAATGTTTCAATACTCTACCGTAAATTCACATGTCGATCAGAATCAGGCTGTGTACATTTTAAAGCAAATGTGCCAGTTGTCAGATGTGAGAAAGTGGTCCTTAAGGCTTCTTATGATTAAACATTTGATGTGTAAACTCAATGTTTAATCACAGATTGTTGTGCCTCTGTGAATCTTATACAAACTTTTTGTTTTCTATAAGCAGCTGTTAATGTTTGTAATTTTTCGGTCTCCTCAGCATGTCTCTAATTGCTTATTGTGTCTCCTCCCAGCTGAGAACGTAGATTAAGTCCTCACTAATTACTGCTGTTAACCAGCCACTGTGAGAACACAGAGCCATCTCTCTCTGTCAGTGAGGAGATCATCCAGCAGGGTTTGCTGCTTTACTTTGATTCCTCCTTCTAAAGATGTGCTGGGACCAAGTCTGTTTGTCAGTTTTCTTCAATGTTTAGTCTTAGTGACAAGAAACAAAAACGATTATTAAATGATGTGTCTGCTGTTCAGATAATGTAGCTATAATTGAAATCGTTGTTTATAGTGTTTAAGCACAGGAAGATGTAAAACAAGCAGGAAATTAATTGTGGAATGTGAAGAAACAAATCTACATGCTGGAGTGTGTAAACAGCTGGTGACGAACCTCTCTGTTGAATCATTCATTTGAACATGACCTTACTTCTGACTTATTTTAGGGTCTAGTAGTCTAAAAGGTACATTTTCACATCTTGAATCAGCTGTGATTAAAGGCTCTGAATCACTGAAACATAAACCTTATGGCAAACACATCTGCTCAAAGTATGTCTGCTAAAGAGCCATTTTTATTTGAAGAGTCTGCCAACAAAATGGGAATGATCTCTTCAGATTTAAACAGCTGAGGTAAGAGGCTTTCTTTGAAAACCAGAAACAGCCTTTACATGAATCTGGTCAATACCACCAAACTTTGACAACATTACTTAGTTTCACTCACAACCATTGGACAAATTCTGCCAGGATTTCTTTTTTCTTTCATTGTTGTTGTTTTTGATTAAAATGAAAACACTGAAAACACACAATAGCACAACATACTGAAGTACTGCAAATTGAGTCAGCAGTAGAAAAGCATCTCTTCTTCCAAGTGAAATGACTACGTGTCTTATTATATTTGTATGATAGCAGCCTTTTCTGGTTCAGCTGAAGTGATCTTCCAGAGCGATCTTTTACTCAGTAACATAAAGACCTCACACTGCGATCTGGGTTATAATTTAGCACGCTGGTTACACCTCATTACTGAATGTGTCCTTCCTGACTTCACAGACAGCATGACTATGTCCATGGAGGCTTTGGTCCAGACAGCGTCTTTGCCACGCCTGCAGAAGACAACGCCAGTATCGCATCAGCCGTAGCCTGGTCCGCTCTGCTGAGGGCAGCACTGTACCCCTCACCCGAGTCAAGTGCCTGGTGTCCATGACAACGCCTCATGATATACGCCTGCATGGATCTGCTGTCACGCCTGCGTTTGTGGAGTTTGACACGTCGTTGGAGGGTTTCGGGTTAGTCAGCATGCTCATAAAAGTTCTAGTCTTTACAAAACTGTTTGTTTTCCTCTTTTAGCCTTTTTTTAACCCAAGAAAAGAGGGTGAGTCACATGCCCTATAAACTGATCATAATGTGCATAACACTCCATAATAATGTAATAATAACATGTTGACGGATCGTTCCCCCTACAGGCTGCACTGTATGACTACTGTGTAAACTTCCTCTGGATATCTGTGGAGTTTAAGTGCTGTAAAGTGCTGCAGGCATCATGGCCTTCCTGTGGTTTCTGAAACTCTACATCCTTTTAATTAAATTATTACCAACCCTTAAAGAACAACCAAAGCTCTTAATTCCACTGACAGAACTTACACATAACAGCATATTCTTGAGAAATGTTGCGTCTTACAGATTTGTCATTGTTATATAAACTTTAAAGTTACATTAGTGGATTTTGTTTCAGGCCACTTGAGACAGAAAAATGTCGAAAAATGCAAACATTCCTATTTATTTAGCTTATATGTTTGGCATGTTTCTCCTTACAAATCTAGTGGAAACATTCATTTTGTTAAGACCCTTGGACCTCATTCACCAATCTTTCTTAAGAAGACATTTATTTTTAAAACCCACTCAGGCAGTTTGTTATTTGATTCTTACATCTACCAAAGCTGAGAACAATTCAGCTGTTTAAGAACATGCCATGAATCAGACAAAGGTTCTTGTTAGGAACATTATTAACAACACATTTATTGGAATTTTTAACAAAATATTGGTGAATGCTAATATGTGTCTCCCAACTGCCCCTGATTGGGGGAAAAATATATATTTCAAGTGCCAATAAATAATAAACAGGAGAGAGACAACGATTGAAATCAGCTTTAATAAATGTATCATAAGATCTTTTTTCTGTCTAGCTGTTTTGTGCTTGTGCAGATTTGTTCTCCACTCGGAAAAAATGTCTTGTGTTCTGTCAGCTAGCGGTTTCATTTCTCTACTGGCTGGTTATTAACCTTGTTATTGAGAAAAGCTACGCTTTGATATTGAAAATGTGTTGATGATGAGTGACCTGAGACTTCAACAGAAATGATTCAAACTGAATCAATGAGCTGATTTCAGGGTTAAAAGTCTTTGTTCAGATGAGTAAGTGCTGCTGTGTTGAGGGATTCTCAGGTTTTGTCACCTGTAGGGGAATCTTTCATTTTTATTCCTTATGGTTTTTTAGTATCTAGACCATGGTTAAGACAGGAAATGATCAAGGAACAAATGCTTACAGAATGTCTGATAATTTGAAGAGAACTGTTTTTTTTTAACTCCCCTAAAGCCCCCTTTGTAATGATTTGTTGCTGTTTATCAGGACTGGATCCTTTTTTTTTTATAATGTCCTTGCAGCAACAGCTGATGCTAGTCTTCTATAAACTACTTTTCTCTATTTTTCTCTTTGTAGATCCATTTTTTCACCCGTGACACCCACCTCAGGGTGCAAAATGTTATTTTCCGTTCAATTAAACAGGTCGCGTGTGCTTTTTCACCTCTCAGCAGCACCTGTCTATGTCTCGGCAGGAGGCCGTTATTCGCCTCCAGTTGTGGAGCCACGCATACAAATTGGCTGATTTTCCGCTTTTTATGTCAAACACTCCCATCGCAGTGCATTGTGGGTGCTGCCAGGCTCTGCTGCTCTGTGTGCTTTGTGTTGTATGTTAGAAGCACAGTGAGTGTCGGGGTCAGTAGTCATGAGGGGTGGGATGTGACCTTGGCAATTGGCCCACAGATACATGACACATGCGCGCTAACACACAGTAAACAACTTTGTCGAGACTTAAGACGATGATTTATTACATTCTTCATTAATATTCATAAGGATGTCTGTTTAAGGTCATTTCTGACATTTCAAGTTAAGGAGCAGAATGCCAGAGGTTATTTTCTCTGATTACCTGACCAGCAAATAAATTACTACACAGAATCAGTTTAATTGGAATGCTGTCTTTGTGTCTGCTTAGTAGACTAAGCCATCAAATGGTTGAATCACACAGTTGAATTAATCTTTTTTGTAAGACCTTTGATCTCCAAAATTAAAAAAAAATCTATTTTGTGCATGTTTTTCTTGAAATAGGCATTCTGAGGAAACGCATGTAGCTATAGCTTTGCACAGTGTCATGGGCCACATATGACACCTGTGCACACACACCAGATTTGTCTTCCAGACAGATGATGTTGATAAGGTTCATTAACCTGGATAAGCTCAGTTGTACTGATTAAAAAAACATTTCTGTTCTAGAGCAGCATCACTGTGCTCTAATCACCATGTTGTGTATTAATGATAATCATATATATTTGTCTTCTCTGATAGTGAACAGAACTCCTTCTGTGGGAAAAAATTTAAAATCTGTGAACTCCAAAGACTGAATCAGTTAATCTAGACTTAATGAGGCATCAATCTTCAAATCAAAATTGACCAAACAGCCAAGTTCTGATGTCTTTAACTAATACTTATTAAACTCCCCTCATCCACCCAGTGAACAT